GTGCGTGTCTTCTTCACTTGCTCGTCCCTTGGCGGACGCCTGGGCTGCCCCCAGGTCCTGGCTGCTGTCAGTAGCGCTGCTGCGAACGCTGGGGTCGTGTGTCTTTTCGAATTAGTGTTTTCCTTCTCTCTGGGTCTGTGCCCGGGAGTGGGACTGGGTCTTCCGGTGGTTTGTAGTTTCTTGAGGAACCGCCGTACTGCCCTCGGGGGCTGCCCTGGTTGGCGCCCCCCCCCCCCAGTGCGCAGGGCCCGTGCCCTCCCGCCCTCACCGGCGCTTGGTGCTCACGGCCGTTCTGGCAGGTGTGAGGCGGTGTCTCGTCGTGCTTCTGACCTGCGTCCCCCTGACGGTGGGTGGTGTTGAGTGTCTTTTCACAGGCCTGCCAGCCGTCTGCGTTTCCTCTTTGGAAGAGTATCTATTCGGTTCTTCTACCCGTTTTTTAAATCAGCTTCTTTGAATACTGAGTTGTATGAGCTGTTTATATATTTTGGATATTAACCCTATTGGTCCTCGCATTTGCAAGTATTTTCTCCCAGTCAGTAGGTTGTTTTTTTGTTTTGTTGAAGATTTCCTTTGCTGTGCCAGAACTTTTGAGATTAATTAGGTCCTGTTTATTTTTTTCGTATTTGCTTCCTTTGCCTTAGGAGCAGATGCAAAAAAACACTGCTGTGATATGTCAAAGAGTGTTCTGCCTGTGTTCTCTTCTAGGAGCTTTATGGTTTTCGGTCTTTAATCCATTTTGAGTTTAATTTTGCATATGGTGTAAGAAGACGTTCTGATTGCATTTCTGTACTTGTGGCTGTAGGTGGTTTTCCCAGCACCAGGGGAAGGGGCGGGGGTGGGGCGCCGAGTGCTGTGAGTGTGCTGGCCTGCAGACGCCCAGGGAGGGGGTGCTGTTGGTCGCCCGCAGGCTGGAGGCCTGTGCTGGGTGTCAGCGGGCCAGCCTGAGGTCTGGCCTGGACGTGTGCGCCTCGGCCCGTGTCCTAAGCAGTGGCACGCTGGCAGGGGTCGGCCGGCACCTTCATGAGGAGCAGACGGGTAGCCCGTCCCTGGCCACCTCGTGGGTGTGTGGCATCATGGCTCTTGGCTCTTCTGTCCCTGGTGGCACAGGCGCTCGTCAGGATGCTCCTCCCTCCCTCATGTCCCACAGAGGTTCTTCTGGTCTTAGTGTTCTTCAAACCCTTTTTCAAACAAATCTTCGTATTTTCCATGGGTGGCTTTGAGTGACTTACACATTGTCCCTTGTCCCCCAGGTTTGTCTGTAAAAATAATGGTGTGTTGTTTGAAAACCAACTGCTTCAAATTGGACTGAAGTCTGAATTTCGGCAGAATTTAGGTATGTGTTTTACTTACTTAACGAGAACTTCTCTTAGAAATTTGGGGGAGAGAATATTTCTAAATTATGTACCTCGTAAAGATCTAGTTTCCAGACTATATAGAGGACTCCAAGTCAACAACAGAAAGACTGCCCACTTAAAAAGTGGTCGAAGTCTTGGATAGACATGTTGTTTCTGAGGAAGACATTCAGATGTCCCAAAGCACACAAAAAGGTGCCCGACACCACCGCTAGTCTGGGAAATGCAAGCAAACCACGTCGAAGTGCCCCTCACACCCATCGGCATGGCTGCTTTGAAAAACAAAACAAGTGCTGGCAGAGGCGGAGAGAAATTGGAACCATACGCACTCTTGGAGGGAATGTAAAATGGCGCAGCTGCTGCAGATGGCAGCCTGGGGGCTTCTTAAACAATTGAAGATAGAATTACCGTATGTATGATCTAGCAGCTCCATGTCTTGGTGTTTACCCCCCAGAATTGAAAAGAAAGCAGGGACTCGGGCAAATCCTCTCGCCCACGTCCACGCGGGGCTCCTCACAGCAGCCAAGAGGTGGAGGGGGCCCGAGTGTCCACACAGCACAGTGAGTGGACACACAGCGTGGTCCATCCACACGATGGGCCACTACTCAGCCGTAAGAAGGAAGGGCATTCCGACCCAGCTGCAGCACGATGGGCCTTGGGGACGTGGTGCTCAGTGGAATGAACCAGACACGGAAGGACAGGTCCTGTGCGACCCCGCTCACATGGGGTCCCTGGGGGAGTCAGATCCACAGAAAAGGGGGGCGGGGGAGGGGAGCGAGTGTTTAGCAGGGACAGAGCGTCAGTTTGGGAGGCAGGACAAGTTCTGGAGGTGATGGTGTGCTGGTCACATGAGAATGTGAATGTGGTTAGTGCCGCGACCTGTGCACCTAGAAATGGTTAAGATGGTAAATTACAGGTTGCATATAGTTCTCATATTTTTTTCAAAAAGGCTTTTTTGTTTACTACTCCCCCCCCCAAAAAAAACTAATGCCCACTGACTGCTGTGACTGGTGCCCAAGGAGCACCTGTGGGCTGACACCCACCTCCTTCGTGGCACCGTGAAGGAGCCTCGGGTGGACTTGCTCTCCTCTGTCTGCGGAGCAGCTGGAAATGTGCAGACGGGGGGCAGTGCGTCTGCCCCAGGGCCCTCTGGTGTTGGGAGGGCCGGCGGGTCCTGCTCCAGGGACTCCCTGCAGGTGGACTGCGGCGCTCAGTCTCTGACCTGGTGAGGACTGTGCGCGGCCGTGTTGGTGGCACCCAGGCCTGGTGGGGGTCCCCTAGATTGTGGGGGTGGCGCCCAGCTGCTCTTCCTCGTCGGGAGACTTGAGGTTCACGTTCTACTCTGAGTAGTTTGGGTATGAAGACATTGGCAGCTAGCGCAGAGTTGGTGTCGTGCTGTGGCCCAGGGCTCCGGGAGCGGCGTTTGTGGGGGAGCCTGGCCACCCTGCCTGGGTCCCTGGGCCCAGCGTGGCCGCCAGCTCAGCAGGTGGCCCTCGTCTCCAGGTGCGCGTCCGGGAGGCTAGGGCGTGACGTGTTTTGTGCCCTCCTAGGTCGTATGTTCATATTTTATGGTAACAAGACTTCCACGCAGTTCCTGCATTTCACTCCTACACTCATCTGTTCGGATGACCTCCAGGCCAATATCCTTGGTTCCACTGCGCCCGGGCCCTGGCAGACAGTAATTGGGACTTCGAGGCGGGTTTTGAGGGCGTCTCCAGGGGCTGTCACCGCAGGTTGTCTTCCCGCCCTTGGGTTGTTAGTCGCTGCAACGCTTGTGGGGCGCACGCGGCCTCGGCTCCTGCTTCGATGGCTGGTTCATCGCTTTCTTACTCACCTGTTCTGGTCTCCAAATCCCTCCGAGCTCTGAGCTCTGGTCTCTGCTCTCCTGCTCTGGGAGTCTCCCAGGGAGTGGCCGTGGGCGGGAGACCGAGGGGGGCTTCTCCACCATCAGCTTCGCTGTCTGGGGTCTCTTGCCATGGGTGGGCTGCCCTGGGAGAGGGAGGGAGGGGGAGGCCCGGCTTGACCACAGCCCTCCTTACTACAGGCCAGAGCCATTTTTATTGTAAGATAAACATGTTTTAAACATAGACTATTAACACTAAATGTTTCAAAACAGTCGTCAAAGAGGGGAGGGTGTAGCTCAGTGGTAGAGCATGTGCCTAGCATGCGCAAGGTCCTGGGTTCAGTCCTCAGTACTTTCATTTAAAGTAATTCATTAATTAGTTAGAAAAAACTGTCATTAAAAATACACACATGAAAGATTTCATCCGAGATCAGGAAGTGCACTCCGACTCCTACAGACCCCTTCTAGAGCCTTTCTGACCTGGGACTGGCTCGGCCCCGCCTGCTTTCTCGGCTTCCTTGACGCACACACGCCTAAGCCTACAGACCAAGCCTGTGGACCCCACCGTGGATGGGGGTGCGCAGGTGCAGCAGGCCGTCAACATCGAGTGCGTGTCCGACTTCGCGGAGGCGCCTGTGCTCAACATCCAGTTCAGGTGGGAGCCCCGGGCTGCATCACCACAGGTCCTGCTGGGCCCCAGGGCATCGGGGCTGGGCCCCTCGTCCTCACAGACCTCAGGGTGGTGTGAGGACTGAGGGGCGACCTAGGCGGAGGCTGGCCCTCGCTGTGCACATTGCAGCAGTGGCTCCAGAGGGGAAGGGAAAGGTGCCCAGGGTTCTGAGACGCTGGGCGGATGGGGCCATCTGTCCAAGGTCCGGTGCTTTCAGGCTGAGACACGGAGGGGCCCACCCCATGGGCTTGGGGCCAGCCAGGTCCCCTGTGCTGCTGCCTGGCCCACGGCTCCGAAAGTCAGCTGCAGGGCGGCATCCCTCCAGATTGTCGCCTGGTGTGTGCGACGCTGCGTGGCTGCACTCCGAGCACGCACACCGTCTTGATGATTTTTCTGTAACACGTTTGTGTTGCTCCCTGGCTGCTTCCTGTCATTTCTCAGTGAGTGCAGGAGCGCGCACGTGACCAGCCTCCCCTGTTAGGTATTTGTAAGTTTGTTTTGGAAAGCATGTTTTCAAACATTAAAAACACAGAGAACTGAAAGTACTGTACTTTGTAAAATTTAGGGAAATAGACGTGCACAAATTTTGTTTCGTTCTGTAGGCACACTTTTTTCTGTGGCCTTTTCTGTGGTCTTTTTCAAAAAGAAAAAAGCCCACAAAGTTTAAACCAGTTTGGACTTGTAGGATGTGGGTTGCTAGGGAAGAGTGATGAGGGGGTGGCTGTCCCCGGGTTAGTGTGTCAGGTCTCCCGACCGGTGCGTGGCAGTCCTCGGCTGTGGATGGCGCCGTGCCCAAGCCGGGCCGGTCCCCAGGGCGCAGGACCACCCTCCCCAGCGCCCCGCCCCTCCCCCCGCCCTCAGCCCTCTGTTCCCGGGGGCTGCGCACGAGGGAGTGGCTCCCGGTTGAGGTGCAGGTTTTCCAGCCGCCCGTGCACCCCTTTCACCGTGTCTCTGTGTTGCTCACAGGTATGGGGGAACCTTTCAGAATGTGTCTGTTAAGCTGCCTATCACACTCAACAAATTTTTCCAGCCCACAGAAATGGCTTCTCAGGATTTCTTTCAGCGTTGGAAGCAGCTGAGCAGGTGAGGGGCTGACCCAAACCCTGTGCGGTGCTGATGGGGGCCCTTCAGGCAGGGCCAGAAGCCGGGCTTACGCTGGCCTTTGTTTCTCACAGTCCACAGCAGGAAGTGCAGAGCATCTTCAGAGCGAAGCACCCAATGGATACAGAAATCACGAAAGCCAAGGTCAGTACCTCGCTGGGGTCATTCCCAGAGTCGGGAGGTGGCCAGGGCCCTCCAGAGACCCTCGGCCCCTGCCTGGGTGCTGGCACCAGACGCTCCAACTCCAATTTCTTTCCCACAGATTATTGGCTTTGGTTCTGCACTCCTGGAGGAAGTCGATCCTAATCCTGCAAATTTTGTGGGAGCCGGTATCATTCATACCAAAACCACGCAGATTGGATGCTTGCTGCGCTTGGAGCCGAACCTGCAAGCCCAGGTCAGGCCCCGGGGGAGCGGCCCAGTCACTTCAGTTTGTTTGTTTCTGTTGTGGTGTAAGTTACACACAGTGAGATGGATGCGCAGGTAGATCCCCAGTGTGGTAATTTGATGAGTTTCAACAGACACGTATGCCTGTGAACCACCACCTGTTGGTACGTGTAAAATTGCCGCTGTCCCAGAAAGTTCCCTGGCACCCCACTGGGGCAACATCCCCAAGAGGCAGCGCTGTGTGGCCCGGCATGGGTTCCGCCTGGCCCTGAGCTGGCAGTCACCAGTTGCTGCTGTGTCCAGGGTCGGTCCTCGTGGACTGTGTGGCACTCCTTTGTGGGGAGTTGCCCCGTTGGCTTGCCCAGCCCTCCTGTCGATGGACCTCAGGCCGCCCCAGTTTTGGGACACTTTGAATGGGGCTGCTACGAACACTGGCACATGTCTTGGTGTGGACGTGTGTTTTCATCTCACTTGGGCAGTACCCAGGATGGGACGCGGGCTCGTGGGGAGCATGAGCCGTCAGCTCCCCAGCGCCGGCTGGGGCAGTTAGACGCCCACCTGTCCATGTACACTCTGGTGCTGGCGATGGTCAGACTTTCTCACTTTAGCTGCTGAAAGCATGTCTAATGTTTGAGTCTCTGTCACGCAGTGGAACACCTCCAGGGAAGGGCTGAGCAGAGGCCTGGAGTGGCCGCCGGGCAGGCCGTGGCCCGAGGTGCTCTGCTGCTGGAGCGAGGGCCCTGCCGAGGGCCGCACCCACGGGCAGGTGGGCGGGGGCTGACTGTTGTTGTCTCCTTCCAGATGTACCGGCTCACGCTGCGGACCAGTAAGGAGAGCGTGTCTCAGAGGCTGTGCGAACTGCTCTCAGAGCAGTTCTGACCCACGGGGCAGCTGCCGTGTCTGCACCTGCCTTCTTCCTGCCCTTGTCTCCGTGACCGTGCTGCGCGCCAGCGCCTGTCTGACATTGCCGCCGGGGGCTCCCGCCTGCTGCCCGGCTTCGTCCCTCCTGGGGTGGGTTGTGAGGGAGAAGAGGCCCAGCTGGACTCGCCGGCCTGCCGGTCAGGAGGAGGGGCGCGGGTCCTGGGATCAACTTTCCTAGAAATCAGGACAGTTCTGTGCGGAAATCTACAAATTAAAGGGAAATTAGAAGTTTGAATGAAAATGGACATTTTTTGGGAAATTTTTAAATGAGCGTTCCTCTCTGGCACTCTGAGAGGAGCAGTGTGCATCTGTGGTGCGGATGGGTCTAAACTAGGACATGTGGCCATTTTGGGGGTGGCTGCTGGGTGCCTGAGACTGTGAGGATGCCCTGGGCTGGAGCAGTGCGTCCAGGCGCCAACATGAGCGCAGCATCTGGGGCGGGGCCCTGACTCTGGAAGTCAGACTCAGCGGTGCTGTGTGTCCTGGCCGCCTTTAGTTCTGTGTTCTTTTCCCAGCGTGGCCTTTTTGAAGGAGACATTAAAGCCGCCTGATTGTCTGAGACCTCGCTTGCGCAGTGTGTGGGGGCAGGGTTCCCGGTGGCCCGGAGAGTGTGTACCTAACTTCACGCATCTGGAGGTTTCAAGCAAGTGCGCTGTCACCCTAGGGGCAACACTGGTTCGTGATTGGAGGGTTCAGTGTGGGTGGGCAGAGGAGATTCCGGGAGCTGAGCTTGTCTCTCCCCTGTGCAGGGGACCTCACGGGCTGGTGCAGGTTTCTCTGGGGTCATGCATGCAGGCCAGGGTGCTGTGGGCCTTGGCCTGTGCAGTCGGAGGAGGGAGGCCTTTGTGTGGTCAGGAGGTGGAGGGCCATTTGGGGATGAGCTGATGCCCCAACTCAGGGTCCCCTGACACTCTGTGTGGCCGTGGAGTCTGAGGCTGTGTGGGTGGCGGCCGTGTCATCCTGCTTTTGTTCAGGCTGCTGGACGACGTGGTGCTTGGGCTCCAGCATGTGGGTCGCCAGCGGGGTGGTGGTTTCGAGTCAGCTGACGCCTGCCCTCCGTCCGCCATTCTAGGTGGGCGTCTGCCCGTCAATTGCGTTCCTTTCCGAAGGGAAAACAAGCGCTAGGTCGGTGGCCAGAGTGCGTGTGGTCTTCGGAGGGAGAAGCACTCAGCATGTGGCTCGTGGCTCGTCCTGCGGGCCGTGTGGGGCCTTGAGCTCTGACGACGTGGCCACGGCACCCCGGTCTCGGGGTGGAGGCGTAAGAGTGTCGGGGTGGCATGCCTTTCACCCTGCGCCTGGGTGCAGGGCGTGGCTCACTTACCCCGGGGGACCTGGCCTCAGCTCCCCCGGCTCCACCCTACCAGTTGAGGACGTGCCTTCTGGAGGCCTTGGGCCTAAGGGACACGTGGGCCCAGGGGTTCCTTCCTGGGGAGCGAGCCCACTGAGCTCTTTTGGGGTGACCCCAGCCACAGACGGGGTGCATGTCCCACAGGATGCAGGGCTTCACAAGGGAGTAGCCCTGAGCTGGGGAGGGTGCAGGCCCCACAGTGGTGTCCCTTCCTGGCCCAGACCCGTGCTGGTCCAGCCCTTTGGGGTGGGCGTGGGTCTGGGGCTTCAGAACACCCGGGGGCATGGGAGACAGCAGCGCAGAGCCCACGGGCGAGCCTTTGCGTGTTGATCAGTGCCAGTTTATTTGTTAATCTGTTCACAGTGGGCCCATCATTCACGGCGGCTGAGACACCCCTCCCCTGACTGCACAGCCCTTCTCCTCGCTGTGACCTCTGCCTCTTCCCTGCTCGCCCCTGCTTGGGGCCTCCCTTTCCTCAGGAACCCCCTGTGAAGCAGCCTTCCTCTCCACTCCCACCCTGGGGTCAGGTCCCAGCAGGACCGGAAAGCTGCCTTCAAAGGCTGGGAGGCTGGGTGGACAATCGGTGGGCGCGGCCGGCAGGTTTGGTGGGAGCTACGGGAACCCGGCCTGCAGCCCCTTTCTCCTCAGGGCCCAGGCAAGCCCCAAGTGGGGCCTTGTGCCCTGGGGGAGGGTTTCGGGAGCTGCCCCTCTAATCTCCACAGCGCCGGGGGCTGCACACGCAGCTGCTGAACACCTGCAGGGGGAGCACCAGCCGCTGTCCCTGTGCCCTGGGGTCTGTGCAGGGCAGCTCGAGCTGCTTCTTGTGGGAGCTGAGGGGGTGGCAGCAGCTACAGCGGGTGTCCACTTGCATGGTGTCGGTGTTGAAGCTGCAAAGGAGCCGCGGCGGAGAGTGTAGGTCAAGGCCTCTGCCTCGAGAGCGCTCCTGCCCTCCCCAGCCGCCCAGAGAGCTAGGTCCCGGTGGTTGGTTAGGGGAGCTCCCGTTGCTGACTTCCCCAGTCTGCCAGTCAGCCCTGAGTCCCCGGTGCCTCCAGGCAGGTTTGCAGGTGGGGACAGGCCAGGGCCACCTGACAGAGCAGCACGTGGCTTGTGGCTGGGAGCTCTGGGGCAGAGCTTCCCCGACTCCTACTCGGAGCCACCTCTGCTGGGCAGGGCAGATTCCAAGCCCAGGACCGGACAGACTTCCCGGGTCCCACAGCTCACCTAGCCGAGGAGGCGCAGACACCCTCACAGCGGGTCACTGTCACGTTGGCTGTGCACCCCTGGTAAGTGATCTCCTCCTGAACCTCCCTCACGCTGCAGTTCCCTGGGAGCCAAGAGGCAGGTGGTCAGGGCAGCCCCAGGGCCTGGCTGAGGGGCAGGTGTAGCCTCTGGGCCTCAGGTTTTCAGTCCCTTTTTGTGTGGGATGGTGGGTAGTCCGGACTCCGCTGAGGGGAGGTGGCCAGCTGCCTGGCCACTTAGCTGACCTAGGTGGGATGGCGGGGGCACACACCAGCACTTTCCTGCCCGCAGTGGCCTTCTACCTGGACCCCTGCCCCACACTCAGGCCCCCGCCCCAGACCGTCTCCTCTGTCTGAGCCCCGCTGAGCTCAGGCCTCACAGCTGTGCTTGGGAGCAAAGCCTGGTAGTTCCTCATGGTGTGTTTTCTTCCTGAAAGTTGGCTGCACTGGACTCCACTGGGGCCAAGTCAGGGCTGTTCACAGAGGGTGAGGCAGATGGCCAGCCCTGGCCCTGGTTTAGCTTCCCTTGCCACCTCCCCTCCCGGCCTGCTACCAACCTGTGGGCGTAGGTGTCTCTGGCCTGCTGGGCCCCGTACCTGCGGGAGGGATGAGGGGAGGATGTCAGTGTCCCCAGAGGGGGCAGATGGTAGCACAAGAGCTTCCTGCCAGGGTCTGTACTCCCGGTGGGGGTGGGATGTGGCCCGGCTCTGAGCTCTGTCCTGCATCGATCCTGGTGGACAGACTGTAGCGATGAGCTGTCTCAGGGGCCCTGGCGGCTGGCCAAGCAGTGTGGCCGTTAGGAACTGCCACCGTGGACCTCGAGTGCAAAGCTGCGAGGAGTTCCTGTGCGGACTGAATTGTCTGTCCTGCTGTCCCATCACCCCGACACAAGGCCCCCCATGGCCTGGAGCCCTGCTTACCTGCTTTTCTGCTGAAGGCAGAGATGGGAGGCCTGGCAGGGGCGGGGCTCTGGGTGCTTCCCTGCAGGTAGTGTTGCCTCCAGCTCTCCTCTCCTGCTCTCCCCTCCTGCTCCCTCATCCCACTTCCTGGGTCCCTCCTCGTGGGCCGCCCGCACCCAGCCCTGGTCCCATGAGAGAATGTGTTTCTTTTCAACACTGTCCTGCGGTGGTAGATCGTCCTACTGGGGGATGGGTGCCATGGAGGGGACACCCGGAAGACAGGGGAGGGGTGTCCCTCGAGAACCAAGTATGCCCAGCAGGCCTGGGGGCAGGAAGGCAGAGGGGAGGAGGAGGAGGCGGTAGCACGGAGGCCTGGGCAGGTGCTGGAGCATGGAGCCCTGGCCACTGGTCCCAGTGGGACCCCCGGCATCATCCGGAGTGAGGCATGCCCCTCCTTTCAGCAACCTGAGGGAGGGTTGCGGTGGCAGAAGCATAGGGTCCCTCTGAGCTCTGGGGAGGGTAGTCCTGGGAGGCTGCTGCTGAGCTCCCCTCAGAGGGAGGCCAGCGCCGCAGCGGGGGCTGTTGGGGAGCACACACGAGCCAGGTACGGGACAGACGTACAGGCCCAGAGGCGGGAGGGGGGCCACCTGTGGAAAGCCAGGCACCCATTTTGGCCAGTCTGGAGAAACGCCCAGAGCAGAGGGGAGAAAGGAGCTAGAACCTGGTCCAGAAAGCCTGAGGGGGCCCCAGGGCTGTGGGGGCTGCACACAGGATGGCCGGGGGTGGGTGGAGGAGGTGTGGTTGTGCTGTTGCTGGGCCCTGTCTGTCCCACGCACCCCGGGACACAGCTGAGGCCCTGGACCTCAGCGACCTAGAGTGACCCCAAGAGCACATTGGGACCACTTAGAAGCCAGGGTGGGCACCCCCTGCTGCGAGTGACCCCAAGTTGGCTCAGTGCTCTGCGCTGCATGGCCATCCCCAGGCAGGGGAAGTGAAGGCTTTAGGGGGAGGAAGGGTCCGTGCCTGCTGGAGAGGCTGGGCCAGCCTCTGTCGGCAGCTGGTGGAGTGCGATGGGGGACAGCAGGTGGAGCAGAGGCTATAGCCATTTCTCACCAGAAAGCTTGAGGGGACAGGAAGAGGCAGGAACTGCACTGGAGTGACCTAACTGTCAGCCAGAGCGGAGAGAAAGGCTGAGAGGAAGCACACACTCGGGGTCACGAGGTGGCGGCAGACACACGACTTACCAAGGGAGCTGGGTAGGGACGTGATGAGAGAGGAGGCAGGGTGGCTCTCAGTGGGAAAGGATGTGGCAGTGGGGAAGGAGGAGCTTCCAGGCCCAGTGATGGAGCTGGTCAGGAATAGGGTGGTCAGCAGCCCAGTAGTGCTGGGTGGTCTGGTGGTGAGGTGGGTGGCTGGGGAACTTGGTACAGCTGTCACCCCCAGCGTGGAAGACACGAGGCCATGTGTAGGGGCATCAGTGGTAAGAGAGGTGAATTGTGATGTAGTGGACTGAGAGGACGCAGTCGGGGAGGCAGGGGTGCTGGCCGTGGTCTGAGTTGTGGACAGAAAGACTATGGTGGTGGAATTGGGGACAAGGGACAGGGTGGGTGAGGCTGAGGGAAGGGTCGTGCTGCGCAGGGGAGAAGTGGGAGTGAAGGGAGAGGACGGGACACGAGTGGAGGGGTTAGGGGAAACGGAGACA